ATATATATTTGTTATTTTTTATTTTATAATAAAAATATGTTAAAAGTTATATCAAACATTTTTTTATAAGTTAGGGAGTATCTGAAATAACTGCCACAATTATATTGTTTTAATAATTAATTATATGTATAATCATTTATAATTATTACTATAATTGATTATATTCTAAATCATTTTTTATAAGTTTAATTTTGGAAATTATTTTTTAAAGTTTATTAACGGATAATTATATGATAATTTCGTTTGAGTAAATAAATCAACTATTACACAACAAATTACGAAAAAAAGGGTATGAAGCCAAAATAAACCTTAAAGGAAAAAAAGTTGTTGGAAACAATTAGAAGCTTCAAATTTTGAGATGGATCTTTTTTTTTTTTTTTTTTTACAAGTTTCAGTTAATACTCTTCAGGCACACTGATTAATTTTTTAAACAACTTTCTTTTCTTCTGAAAAAAAACAACTGAAATATAAGAATTTCAACTAACAAGTTTTATGTTGTTAGTAGATGTCTCTTAAAACTCGGTTTACTGTTAAAATTGTTTAAATAATTCATACATCTATATCACTTAGACAAAGTTTACTGTTAAAAATGTTTAAACACCCACATATATGATATGTAATTGGTAAAGAAAAATATATTTAAATTAGTATAAAGAGTTAACGCACCCTTCAATTAGTTATTTATTTGAAGAATAAAAAATTGCATTTAATTGAAGTATATTATATATATAAAAAAAAGAGTACAGTATGGAGGAGTGAATTAATAAGATTAATTAAAATACAATTAATTATCAAAAATTAAATTCACTGTATATGATTGCGGACTATGTTCAAATATTTTACAATTTACATCACAGGAAATTAGAAAAGAAATTATGGAAAGTATAATTAATTATTTAAATATATGTAAAATATTTTTTTCAGTATTTAAAAGGACTGAGGCCCAAACATAGAAAATAAATCATGTAAAGAATTCCAACGTAATTTCCGTATATGATGGCCCAAATGGTGTACACCAGTTCGCTAAACATTCTTTTTCCTTTTCATTTTATGGCAAGTAACTAATTACTATTTGGTTTCAAATTGGGTGGAATCAATTTTGATAAAAAAAAAAAAACTTTAAAACCTAATTTAATCGGAATATTTGTACAGCATGCAAAATAATTTTGAATAACTGGCACTATGTATACGCAAATTTAATTTAATTTTAATCTTTATATTTTTGTTTGATTCATTATCAATAAGTATATTCATCAAACATGAGAACATTTGTTCATATATAAAAATTAGGATTGAAATTTTGACCACTTAAAAAAATCTCTATATACATTTATGCACAAGTAAAGAGTTTACTTAAAATACAATAAAATCAATTGAATATATTATAATACATTATTCTAGGGTGTGATTTTTTCAGAAAATCATCTTATAATGTATGTTATTTTGGAAAATGTACTATCAGCATAAAAAAGAAATGATAAAAGTTATTTTCTTTAATTTTTGAAATATATTTGGTGACATATATACTTTAAAAATAAATGAAAGTAGAAATAATTTTATAGAGTCCGAAAAAGTAAAAAGCAACCAACCGTGGTTAGTGACAAGAATTAAGGATAAATGGAGTGGTAGGCTCTGCCACATACCCTCCAAAGCAGAGAAGACGATGATGGGTTGTCCCAACCAACCAACTCTCAAACTCGCTTCAATTCCCACTTTCTCTTTCTTCTTCAAAACTCCAACCTTCCCTTTCCAGAAACCTCCATTGCCACGCCCCATCAAAGCTCTCTCTTCCTCTGCGCTCCTCCAAACATCTACCAAGGCTCCTCAAGACCAGGGTCACCACCCACTTTTCTCCTTTTTCTCTTTCACTTTTGTTTCCGCTTCTCATCAACCGAACTGAATAAAAACCCGACCTTTTGTTGCAGGTGCCAAGCCTCAATGGAAGGCCACAATAGACTTCAAGTGGATAAAGGATAACAAGGAAGCTGTTGCTGCCAACATAAGGAACCGCAACTCTGACGCTGATTTGGACCTCGTCCTCCATCTTTATGACAAAATGTTTACGCTTCAGAAGGTTATGTTATGTTTCTCTTCAATCTTCTCCTTTTTTTTACTTACCAATTCTGAATAATTGCAAATTTAATCTGTACTCCATAAAATGTCTAGTTGTTTGTTTATGAATGCATGCTGTTTCTCAGTTACATGAAAGTATAGAACAACAATAACTGGTGAATTTGTGAAGCATTTATATTTTATAACATCTATGCATTGTCAATGATCGTTTCATCTGGTTTCTTTGTTTTGGTGTACACTGTACACATTATCTTTGAAAATTTTAATCTTACATGAAAACCGATTAAATCGCATGACAATCTATATCTATACTAATTCATAAAGGAGATACTCTTTTTAGTAACCATTTTGGTTTCCTCAATTGGAAGACCATTATATCCTTTTATTGTTAAAAAAATTAATATCTTTATCAAATTCAAGACCTTGAGATTTGAAGACCAATTGCATCATCAGATGGACCAACATACTTTTATTGCTTAATCTCAATTTTTATTTTATTTTTAATGAAGTGCCTCAACCTCACTAGTAACTAATAAAAGACTAAAAATTCCTTTTGTATAGAAATTTTATCTTTGAAACTGTCAATAACTGCAAACTATTTTCATTAACATGTGTGTATTTAAAGGAAGACACCATGGAAGCACGAAGTGCCCTTTTTTCAACTAGTGACTTTTAAGATAATTATTCTAAAAGTCAACAAACTTACTATATAGTATATACAAGAGTTTGTGATTGGTTGATTGTGTAAAAATCTTTTATAACTTGCTATGAATGTTTATTTCATGGTATATATATGTTTAAAAATATGTTAAATATAAACAACGAACCGTCAATAAATTGCTTGAAAGAAGGGTATTAGAGTAATCTAAAAACCTTTGTTCTCAATGGCTTAGCTAATTTGTTTCTTACAGAGAGCAGGAAGTTGAGAGGGTTCGAGGAGAAAGAAATGCTGTAGCTAACAAGATGAAAGGGAAATTAGAACCATCGGAGCGTCAAAGGCTGATTGAGGAAGGTGCTTTTGGTGCAATTTTTCATCCAACTGGCATTTAAAGTAAATTACTTAAAACGGACACTTTATTGTATGCAGGGAAGAATTTGAAGGAGGGACTTGCTGCTTTGGAAGAAGAACTAGTGAAGCTTAATGATAATCTTCAACAGGAAGCGCAGGGTATACCAAACATGACTCATCCAGATGTTCCAATAGGAGGGGAGGATTGTTCCACCATAAGGAAGATGGTATTTCAATTATTACAATTCCCTTCCTTTTTTCTTCTGGAGGAAAAATCTTGGTTGTTGATCTTGTTCATGCATCAATTTCTTTCCCTCAAGTATTAATGTGTTGTGAATGTGTGGCATTTTAGGTTGGTAGTGCTCCCAAATTTAGCTTTCTTGTCAAGGATCATCTCCAACTTGGAAAGGAGCTTGATCTATTTGATTTTGATGCAGCTGCAGAGGTATACTTTGATTAATTTGAGGCATTAAAGTATCATTTATTTGAAGCCTAGCAATTTCTAGTATCAGTTTGAGCTGTAGGACAATAATATGCGGCAATAGATGTTATGTTGGAATCTATTTACTTAGTAGTACTCTTATTATTTCTAGGAAATGTGCACATGCCTTGGAGGTAGCATATTTTCTTATTTAAAGTAGCCAGGAATGATTTTTATATGATATGAAATTAAGAAATTTTGAACTTTTCTATAATTAAATGCTTAAAGTCTATCACTGTTCTTGTATGCAATACCTAGAGACCTCATTCTAAGTTCTAACTTTGATAGTATTTTATTCCTTGTTTATTTTAACATTATGATGAAGCTTGGATTTTCAAAAGAAGTAGAATATAATTGGCATGTGACTTCAGTTTTGTTTCGGAACAGGTCAGTGGGTCAAAGTTCTACTACCTGAAAAATGAAGCAGTTTTGTTAGAGATGGCTCTTTTAAATTGGACACTCTCTGAAGTGATGAAGAGAGGCTTTACTCCATTAACAACACCTGAAATTGTGCGGTCCTCTGTTGTTGAAAAATGTGGATTCCAACCTCGTGCAAATAATACCCAGGTTTGCGAGTTTGTATCTCTTAGGCGTTGCTTTCTTTCTCAGCGTGTGCTATTAGACTACTCTTTGGCTTCATGATCATGGACATATGATACATAGCTGATGACTAACATGTTTTGGCAACCATTTGGGATGAGACAGTGTACCCACTGTAAGAAGAACACACGTCCTTTTAGACCTTTGCTCTGCATCTTCTTTTATATTTTGCTAGACTTGAGAACTACAAATTGGTCGGTCTTATGATGATAATCATAATAGGGCTCCCAACCTTGTTCATGATGCAAAGCAAAGGATTGCAACATCATTTAATTTTCCCTAATGTTCCTTCTATTTAATGTCTTTAATTTGATGATTCAAGTTCATAGCTTCTGTTGATGTTTCTCTCTAACATTGAACAGATTTATTCCATCGATGACAGTGACCAATGCCTCATTGGCACTGCAGAGATACCTGTTGGTGGCCTTCATATGGATTCTATACTCTCTGACTCGTTGTTACCTTTAAAATATGTGGCATTTTCTCATTGTTTCCGTACTGAGGCAGGTGCTGCTGGTGCTGCAACAAGGTGTCTAATTAGAGCATTTTTGTTCATTTCATGTTCCTAGCTATTGATTTACCGGGATTTAAATGTTTAATAATATTCAACCTTTTATTATATGGGGGAATTTGAACCATTAAAATTCTTTCTTTTGTTGCATATATAATATATATTGAATTGAATTTAACCAATTGAAGTTCCTATTCTTAATGTCTTATATTACACGCCAATATTAATGTTTTCAAATATTTGGTGGTTCTAACTTTCTGATTATAATTATTATTGAGCAGGGGTCTTTATCGAGTTCACCAGTTCAGCAAGGTTGAAATGTTTATTTTCTGCCGCCCCGAAGAGAGTGAACATTACCACCAAGAGCTTATTAAAATTGAAGAAGACATCTTCTCATCCCTAGGATTGCATTTTAAGTGAGAGTTACTACTTTTCACTTTGCAGTTAGTACTTAAAACATCCTTTCTTCATTGGTTAACATGATTCCATTACTGTATCTGTTATAACTAAGCTTTTATGCAGAACTTTGGATATGGCCTCTGAAGATTTAGGTGCACCCGCTTATCGTAAATTCGATGTGGAGGCATGGATGCCTGGTTTAGAACGGTTTGGTGAGGTATTGCAACAACTTTTTCCCTTTCAATCTTGTGAGCCATATATGCACTTTTTATGGTCATTGAGCTGAGTTTCTTGCTTGAGCGCAATGCCTCTATACTGTAGGTATGGCCAATCCTAAACTCAATATAATATTAAAATAATTTTGACATAGACCATAATACAGACTTCATGATTATTTTAATATATCTTGCGTTTTTAATTGATTGTACCGGTAGATACTAGCAAGGTTGTCAAACTCGAGTTAACTCTTAGACTCTTGTGATTTTCTGATTCTAGATAGACAAAGCGAGTTAACTTGCTGTCAAACCTTTTTCTAGATAAACTCGGCATAAACTTTTGATTCAAGAAGTTTTAAATCGAATATAACTTTTGCACTACCAACCCCCCACCCCAAACCCACACAAATTGACCTAATAGTGACAGTATTCTACTAGGGTTCATGATTTGAAGAAATTAACTCCTTTTTAAAAAGTTTTCACTTTAGCATCTTATGTTTTAACGAATTAATATATGATTTGGTCATTTATGTTGTTTGATCTTATTTAGTACTAATGTGCTATCACTCTTTGTTATTGTATTCCTTACTTTGTTTCATCAAGAAACTGAAATGCTTAATTATTAGTGTTAAAAGAGTATTATGATATGCATATATATTATTAATAAATATTTTAATATTATTTTTATATTAAGTAAAATCTTATGAGTCAAGTCTATAAAAATTTTTTGAGTTTATATAGACTCTCGAGTTTAACAACTAGATACTAGTCCAAGAATTACTCTTGCATGCACAAGAGAAATTGCATTTTGTTTTACTACTTGTTAAAATGATTATTGAGGCTTACCGAGCTTGAGAAAGCAACTTCATGCTATTCCCTTATACTAAAATATATGGCTTTCAATATAATTTGCGACAGATCTCAAGCGCGTCAAATTGCAGAGACTATCAGAGCCGTCGTTTGGGAATAAGGTATCGTCCATCAGAAGCACAAGTCACAAGTGGGAAAAAATCTAAAGGCAATCTTGCTCCACCACAGTTTGTTCACACATTAAATGCAACAGCTTGTGCAGTACCACGGATGATTATATGTTTGCTTGAGAATTACCAACAAGAAGATGGATCTGTCATTATCCCTGAGCCCTTGAGGCCCTTCATGGGTGGCCTTAGTGTCATCGCCAGAAAATCATTATGATTGATCATAGAATTAGTTTCCCATTTGGAGGATGCTGTTGCGGCATTAGATTACGATGATAGATGAGTTGAAGCCATTTCATTAGGATGATAATTTTACTAATAATATTTATAATTTTCTCCCTTACAAACTAGTTTTTGTACCTTTTTCCATTTTCTTTAATTTTTTTGGAATGTAGCCACATTGACTATGCAATGTGTATAAATTTCAGTAAAAAAAAAAAAAAACAGTACCCTAGTACATTTTTCTTTTTAATAAATAGTAAATTAAAAAGATTAATGGGGTGGGGATTATTTATTGTTGATATCTTGCTAGCATATATACAACTTTTAAACTAAGTAACAAAGTTAGCGAGTGAAAATACACTATGGAATAAATCACACTAAATGTGACACTTGAATATAAATTAGTCTATGATTATTAATTTTAAAACATGTAATTAAATTAGTGAGTTGCTAAGATATTAAAACACATTTTTTATATGCAACATTTTGTGTATATTCATGATTTCAATTTAACAATCTATTTTTTCTATTTATAGAATTCAAACTCAACTTTATTTAAGAAGAAATAAGCTTTATCTTGTTTAAATCAATAGACATTGACAATTCTTGACTTATCTTAAGATTAAAATTCATAATTGAAATGTCTTTTTTGGTTATTATTTATGGCATTTAAACTTAAAGCGATTCACAAGATAATTAATACATGGATTGAGATCTTAATTGAAACTATATGTAAAACTTTCTCAAAATCAATCGACTTAAACATTCACATTTAGATCAACTTTATCACACCCTACATGTAGAATATTTTAGCAAACTCTAATGTAATCCAACTAATTCTTCATGCTTTATGTTACACCCCATCCCCTATATAAATAGTATCATTCTCAAGTATTTGAATGTTCTTTGAATATCTTACCGTCAAAACATGTAACTTCGGCATTTAAGTGTTTATATTATAGGTGGACATTGTCGGCTACCACACTTGCTTAGTGCAAGCTCAACAAAATCTCATTTAATCAACTCGATTAGTATTCAATATTTGAATAAAAGATAAATTTATTTTTTATATTGTTGAATACTCCCCTACCAATTTATTTTTACATCCTATAACTTCGATTGATCATTTAGCCTTATTCATCTTTGACACAAAAGTATTCGATGAGAGAACTATTACGCATTTTTTTAAAGATCGATGCTTCTAGGCAAATCTCTTAGTTGTCTTCACCTCTATTTTCTTTATCACTGAAGGACCATTCAGGATTTTTACCTAATGATTTGAATTATTTTTCTCTCAACAATGAAGCTTACCTTCCATTATCTTACTGAGTGACCTTGACTCATGTTATTTTGTGGTAATATTTAATATTAAAACTTTGGCTCAATTGGGTACTATTGTTGTGGCCCACAAACTTTAATTTTTTTTTGGATTTATAAAAACAAAATCAAGCCATAAAATAAAATATGCTTAACATCGGGATTAACAAAATGTGGAGCTAACTATTCTGTTGGATTAATTAAAAACTATAATCCCAATAATGAACATGACAAAAAATATTTGCAATAATGTGTGCATTGAGTCCCTGACCAAATCTAAAAGCTTTTTACATAAACAAGTAATGCTGACGAATGAATGAACGAATCATGCCTTCCAAAACACCCAATGACACTCAAGAATCTCAGGTTGTCATCCTCACCAACTTTGTGTATCAAATCCCGCATCTTTCTTTCTTTTTTTATCTCCCTCCTTCCTTTTCCTTTCTATGGTACTCTGTTTCTTCTTCTTTTTTTTTTTTTCTTGTCATGAATATATACAGTAAGCCAACAGCCTTGTAACACATTCCAGCTGATCCAGTGTTAAAATGTTGGTAAAAAGGAAGATGCATGTGACGTCCTTTCACCAACATAGATCTATTCAAGGAAAAAGCTTTGCCTTGTCTGGTTACCTATAGTGTGAACCGTTTATAGAGAGTTATTCTGTCCGACATAAACAACCAGGTAAAGGATTTGCATAAAATGTTTCTTCTGTGCGAAACCTGTCCAATCCCTTTGTTCCAGAAACGGGTCCTTTTCTCTTCCTGAAGAAGCCAAGCCTGTTCAACACACGATAAACACAAATTCAAATAAACAAAAGTTTTTCCTTTTTAACAGCATTTGATCAAAAGTGAGAATCATGTAATTATAAGTGATGACAATTCCCAGACAAATCAACATCATCTTCTGTCAAGCTCGTAATCACACTGGCAGTGGTGTTCGGTCAATATTACTTGACCTATATGGCTTGAGATAAATAGAGTTACCCTAGGCTGTGAAGCTAGTAGGCAACGAATTCATTCAATAAAAATGAAAAAAAAAAACATGGATCACAAAGAGCCTATATAGGAAGATATTTTCATGGAATAATAATAATAATGGTGTGTTAAAAATGATAGAGCCTATCAAAATCATAAAAATGATGGGATATTTAGAAATGTCAATTATAAAATCATATAATTACTTACGTAACATTTCACACTATAACCAAGAAAAAAACATAAACATAAATTAGTACTTATGTAACAATCATAAAAAATTACTTGGCATATACATTAATGCTTCTCCTATCACTTACCGTGTTTTGTGGAGATCAATAATTTTATTAGACAGTGATTTCCCCTCAGTTATTGATCCATTTGCCAGTTTATCAATCAGACGAACAAGCGCTTTCCTGATAAAAGAATTGGGGTCATGCAGAACAGCTTTGTAATGATGACAGCTTTTGAAAAGAGTCTCACCTATCAGGAGATATTGTTCTTCCGCTCCCAAGAAAACGACGATGGCCTTCAACAGCTTTCGCCATGTTTCCAGGGTAAGAATGTACAAATACATCACTTTCAACGGATACAATATAGTCAAGAGCAGCCATTTGAGACGCATGCCTAGAAAATGGTTCAAGCTCCTCAATGGATGCCAACTTTTCCTGAAATTCATCATAGGTAGGCTATCAACATGATATTAATGCATTCTCAGCTGACTGTTGTTACTCATAATCAAAATTTAGACTTCTTGCCTTAAACTCTACACTGGCCATAGATAGAAGGCATGGCTGCACCTAAATGATTTAACTATATAACAAGAGCTGGATCAATGCAAAATGTCACTAATCTGATATCAGTGTTTAGTTAGTAGAGAACCTGGCTTATGATGTAAAGCTCCTCATGCATTTAAATAATAGAGGCACCCTTGTCTTTGTTTCTTTTAGGATAGATTTTCAGTTACCAATCATCCAATCCCTTTGACATTGCATTATTTTTCAATTCAAGAGGTGTATAGGGGAGTATGATGTCATCATATAATGGATGAGACCATGTAAAGTAAACCTTTCCTATCAAAACCTCAATATGGTAATGCATATTAACTATTTACTAAATGAAAATTTTGGGTCAATCTTGGAGAGACATTAAAAATACCAAGACACTATCAAACTTCACTAGAAGAATATCCGTTCAAAAGATGTTTTATCAAACTTTGCCAACATACTGCAACAAAGAATTGTAATTGCTCACCTTGCTCATTAACAATGGATAGCGTGATAGCAGGTCAGTCATATGGGACTCACCCCCATATATCTCCCCAGCAGCAATATATATTGGAGTCTTTGATGGGTATCCCAGAGCAGTCAGAAAAATTCCAACTTCCTTTGGAGTTAAGGGGCAAAACCCTTTAGACCTCTCTTCTGTGGAGTTAATGTACTTTCTTTTCCAATAACTAGTGTTCTCTCTACAGATTTGGTGCATAATAGTAAACTTCAAACATTAGATATCAGGAAAAAGAGGAGATTTCAACTAATCATTTTGAATCATCGATACCTGATAATTCGCAGCTCCTCAGCCTCAACTGTAGATAATTCATGTGTGCACCCACTAAATGAAAGCATATCCTTCTCATAACGTAAATGTAATGCAATATAAGGGCCGAATGACCTCATCCTTTCCACTAATATCTACAAGGATCAAAAAAATCATAAAGTAATGGACGGAGTACGAGAAAGTATTCAACGAAGCCAATAAGAGTTAATATCTACTTATATACTTTTCCCATTTTTTCGATGTGAGGAGAGAAATGAAGAGCTTCATAACAAGCACGGCAGCGAAGCTTCTGAATATCTGGAGGTAGATTGTTATTTGCTAACCGAGAATCAGTTTTGCTAGCTCGAATTACCTTTAGAGGTTATCAATAATAAGATGGTAGTAAAATATGTTAGAAATTAATGTAAATAAATGAATAATAACATAGCAATGCATACACCAACATATTTCAACCAGAATACGTACTTTGAAATTATCCCACAAGGAAGCAATCTCATTCTCATAGTAATCCATGCCAGACCAGCTTTTGAATTGCATGACAATTCTGGTTGCATTAACCAGTTTTTTGGGAAGCTTCTTAATGATTCTTACATCATTAGCTAGAGAACTAATAAACCAGTCTTCATCAAAGATATCAGAGAAATTGCTGCAGATCAAACAAAAGACTATAAAATCTAATTATGTAAAATCCAAAATAGACAACTATAATAGAAAAATAGAATTCAAAAGTTACCTAGTATCATGCCAAAATGACTTTTTATCAAGTTCTGGAATTACAAGAGTGGCATTTATGATACGTGCTATAGCTACCATATCACATATCTGTAGCAGAGGAAACAAACTTTCAGCTTCTAGCAGTACAATGATAAAGAACATCCAAAAGTGAAACATGTAGTAGTTGATGTTCTCTAAAGTCTAGATTTTGTCACCCCAATTAGGCATTTTTGCAAACTTTTTTGTCTTGAAGTAACTTGGAAATACAACTTCTCAGAAACTACACTCATGGAGAACTTTCTAACATATAACAACAATCAAATAAGAAGAGAAAAATTCAACATGGAAAAAGCTGAGTGACAATAAAACTAAAACTTTCGTATGAAAGCAATTCAGAGAGAGAGAGAACTCATACCCCAGTACGCATTTGGTTTAGCCCTCCATTCGTATGAACTGAAAGGTAACCACGTGATCTTGCAGGAGCTGGATAAACAGTTAACCCTTCAATTAAGGACTGATAAAGAAATGACACTTGCAAATTGCTACACAAGTTCAAGTTTCTTACTTGTGTAATTAGGAGTAGGCTTTGCACAGGGTATAAACCCATGATTTGGTGGAGGCTTCCACAGTTTCTCGTAGTCTGAATCCTTTCTTGAATCCTTCATCTACAAAACTAGAGCAGTGAAAACAAAAAACAAACAAAAAAGGTGCATAATTGCCTTGCAGAATTTAAAATATATCTGCCAAGATAATGACACCCCAGCATAGCTAACAAGCACTAAAAATAAATAATAAAAAATGTCATTTGACAATACAATTTGATGAGATCAATAAACATTAACACTTAGTACTGAACAGAACCAAGAGAAATGCAACTAGCAAAGAAGAAACTCCCCACTGATTGTTAGGAACAAAAGGAAAAAAACTAATAAAAAAAATACACTTTTGCATTTAGGATGGTTTAGTAATATTTAGTAACTTACTCAAATAAGCAAGTGAAAAGAGTAACATTAATATAGCTTTTTCATCAAAAAATGAAGAGAAAAAAAAAATACTGGGATCACTACCCAGTGGACTGATTTAATTTCTCAGTGACATTCTCAGCATCCAAGACGACAGATCAACAATCAATTCTAAGGGAATAAAATAATGATTGGAAATAAAAAAACCTTGGAAACAGAGAGCGGAGCCATGGATAGATGAGGCGGAGCGAGTTCTCGAGTCCAGCTTTGCGGGTCATGAAACTGTCAAATTTAGAAATTCACATAAAAAGATAAAAAGAAGGAAATGGAATGAGTTCTGATCACTAAGTTATCAACCGAAATATCAAAAACAAATTCCGAAAAGCCAAACTCCCACACTTTCCATATTTGTACACGCCAATGGCAATCTAGTTCAAGTCAACAATACACTGAAAATCGAAGCTTTTCAAAGAGAACCGCAAAATAGACTCATTCTAAAGCCTTATCAATTAAGCATCATTAAACCACCCCCTCCCAGAAAAGAAAAAAAAAAAATAGTTGTTCATCAAAGTTTCATTTATTCA